CCCCCCCCCCCCCCTTCCATGCCTGTAAAAAATGAACGGTCACTGACTCATCTACCAACTTTCCCTCGTCCAGGCAATCTATTCCAGTGTCATCCCATCTCACTTCATTAGCGGTGTGATGGGTCAAAGAATAGAATTTCCTCAATGGCTTGGGAAAAACTCGAAGAAAGGTAGACTGGATCGAATATTACAAGAACTACAGACGCACATGAGAGTAAGGTCTGTATGCCATTAAAATATCCATGTTGCATTGCCAGACAAATGATACAAGCGTATTCCATCGTGTTATTGAATCTGTTTTTGTTTTGTTTTTTTCTACAGAGCGTCAGCAGGCAAGGCTTGTATAAATCTCGATTATATACCACAATTAAGAAAAGCCCTTACAGTACCCTTAATGGATGAGGTAACACTATCAATCAATATGTCCTATTTTATAAAATAACTGTTATAAATCTCGCGTTCTGATTGGTTGGGAGCGCGTGCATTATAAGAACACACAGCACGCTCGCGCACTTTCTATTTTGTCATTCGTGTGCAAAATATTAACAGCTACTCTAATGTGTATTTTTTTAATTTAAAAAGAAAACAAACTTGCCGTGCTGTGCTGTGCTGTGCTGTGCTGTGTTGTGCTGTGCACAGTTTTAAAGTAAAAGGAGGATTGGCAGAACACTCGAGAAGTGTTGACAAGCACTCCGCTACGTGACATGCTTCTCCTAACACTTCTCTCATGTTCTGCCAATCCTCGTGTGCTTTATAACTGCACACAGCACGCGCAGGCGTTTTCTATTTCTTCAGTAATGGGACTAGTACAGACAGCATCGGTTATGTAAAAAAATCTTACCAATACTAATAATGTTGAATGATTCCAGGTGAATGCCAAAGAAGGCGTTGCTAGCGTTATCAAGTTGCTAGAAGCCTACGATTTGACTCGAGAAGACTGGGACTCTATTATGGAGGCAGGGTTGTTCGAAGGGCAAAAGGATCCCATGTCGAAGATTCCTTCCAAGGTAATACCTGTCCGTGTTAGAGTTCGTTTCTGCCATACAGGAAATTTTAGATGTGGTTCGAGGGCTTTCCGGGTTCTCCGGTTTTCCTCCCTCCCCAAAAATCAACTCCTAAATTCCAATTCGATCACGGAATGAGGGCCACAGGTTTGTTAGCCACTGGCTATTAGGTGCTACCCTCGTGAAAAAAAGGACGACATGGCAATGTGTCACGTATGCATGAGTAGTACTTTTTTGTTGGTGGATACCAAAAGAGCGCTTTTGAAAAAAATTCTGATAAAATGATAATGACTAGTGGTTGCAACATTGCGCTAAACAGGAATTTTGCAACGTTTATCCACCCCTGTAACTACATTTCAGGAGTTGAATCATGCTCTACTGCAGCAACATCGTGCGGTGAAAAATTTCATCTTTGCAATAACAAGGCTTGCAGTATCTTAAGATGTTTAGCTAATCACATTGCAGTAAAATGAAAACCGCTGACCAAAAGTCTTAGTATGACAGGTGTTATCAAATTAGAATRATGTTGCAACGTGTCAACAGCCGATTCAAATTTTTTGCGCGCAACAAATTTCATATTGGCTGCAACATTGCTTGCAATATTTTGAAGTTCTTAGCCAATTAGGTTGCACTAAAACGAGAACGGCTGACCAAAATTCTTAGTATAGCAGGTGTTGTTATCGAAAGAAGCCGCCATATTAAAATCCTGTTGCAACGTGTCACCCCCGTTTCAAATTTGTTGCACGCAATGTTGCCCAGTGTGTCCACCGCTTTATTACAGCTAAACAGAAGTTTTTTTCCTACACTGGAGCACGCGCCATTATGTTTGGTCTGCATTACTCTCGATAGAAAATTCCTAATCTTTACTTTACTAACTAAAGCTATTTTATTTCAGGTTAAATCTGCTTTCACCAGGGCGTACAACAAAGAACAACACAAGACTCCATACGTGCTTAAAGGGGCCCCTTCAAAATCAAGAGGCAAGAGCAGTGGCTTAGATTATGAAGGTGAAGAAGAGCAAGACGACGAAGAAGAAGATAGCATCGAAAACAGTGCTATGATCGTCAAGGATAAAAAACCCGCAGCAAGTAAAGCGAAAGGCGATAAAAAAGAACAGGAATCGAAAGGAAAGGGAAAAGGAAGAGGAAAAGGAAAAGGTGCCAGATCCTAACAGCGTCTTATCCCATTCAAGCAATGTAAATTGAGTTTCTGAAGCTGCTAGAGCCAAAGGCGTTCACTAGAAAGGAAAGCCAAGAACAAAGAATATCAAAGCTTATCTCCATTTTCTAGCAAAAACGTCATTGAAAAGGCCAAAGTTTTTAGGAATAACCCAACGCTCATTCTGATGCTCTGTTTGTCGTACCGCACTCTTTCGTCACTCGATGTTCTTGGTAGATTACTGAAGTAGATTGTCTTCAGATATGCGTGTAATATTCTGTGTATTAGCAATAAAATCAAAAGTAACATTCACTACATTCAAAACTTCAGATTTTATTTTTCTTCGGAAAATGTACATGAACCGATAGAGTGATTTTCCTTAACCTTAAAACAGTTTCTAGTAGATAGTGTTAGGTCTCATGTCATCATGTTTTTTGTTTGTTTGTTTGTTGTTTTTTTTTTGGTTGTTGTTGTTGTTGTTTTTTGTTTTTGTTTGTTTTTTTGTTTTGTTTTTTGTTTGTTTTGTTTTGTTTTTCGGGTTTTTTTCGTTTTTTTTGTTTTGTTTTTGTTTTTGTTTTTGCTTTGTGGGTTTTTTTTCTTCCGATCCTTACTGTATAATCTATTCCGTTGCAAAAACCAAAAACGTCACCAAATCGTAAAAAGACTATCGAATATATACAAAAAGCAGGAAAAACTGGAAAACCCAAAAAAGCATCTAGAAAAATCAAGGAAAACCGGGTTTTGAATTGAGAGTGAACTTAACGCATGACAAATGCTTTACAAAAAATATGTTTGCCGGACCCTGGATGCTTAAGCGCGAAGCATGACTTTAATTCGGGTACCCTGTCTCTACTTGACGCCAACTAATGAAGAACGTATAACCGCTCACTCCATCCTCTTCTTATTCAGTGGGCTATATTAGTCGCCAACAGATCCTTGATTATCGGGTTGACTGACAAGCTGTCTATTATAGTGTTATCAATACCAAGTCTACAGTACTTATGAATGACACCCTGCAATTGTAAGCAGAAAAATCGTTAGAAAGAGTGAAAATACATCGTACATCGTAGAAGAGAGCAAATCCCTAAAATGTTRAATAGGTGAAATCAAGAATAGTTCCCTTCACAGTTCCATGCGCGCGCTATCTTGAATGGTAACGGTACCTGTGCATGAATGGCAATGATAGAGACGTGAATAATTGCTATAAAAAGGTCTTTATCATTCACCATTTTCCATACATCGGTTCGCTGGTCAAACACAATGCGCTCAAGCGAGGCGCCAAGGTACTTTCAAAGGATTATTCAAATTTGAACCTTGCAACCTCGACTGAATGCTTTGTGTTTGACCAGTGAACCGATGTATGGAAAATGGTGAATTGCAAGGTTACCGCTGTCCTTGCTTCGAGTTACAGGCACGGTCACCTTTCAAGATGGCGCAGGAAACTGTGAAGGCGGCTATTTTCTCATTGTGCTTTCGTAATGGGGTAACATTACCCAAATTCCTTACAACTTTTAAAAAAAGTTGCTACTATACAGTACCTTGCAGCCTAACGAGGTTAAGAACTTGATGAGTTTAGCTATACCAACCAGGCATGGCATGAGCTGATCCAATGTATAACAAGACCCRGGAACCAACGACAGCCTTCCATTCTCCCAAACAAGTCCGCTGGCGAGACAGAATGCCGACGCAGCAACCAGTGACGGTTTATACGTCACGAGAACCAAATCAAGCTTAGTGATTTCCATAAGAAACTTCGATAAGACGTACGTTTCCGCATCGATCCCAGCAGTCCTTGCGATACGCCGAAGAAAGTGACTTGGCAGTGGTTGTGAGAGGTCAAAATTCAACGTCTCAAGAAGACCTTTCTCCATCTTGTTGAGTTCATCGGCAGTAAAAGCCTTATCCGCCATGTTAACGAGTTCTTGGTGGCTAGGAACAAAACGGTCTTCGTATTTACAGGCGACTAGCAAACACGACATGCCGAGCAACTGGAAATGGGCCAGTGGTACGTAGTGCAGGCTCATATAGCGGTCTAATAGACTGATCATTAGATATAGGCAGTCTTGGGGAAAGTTATAGAACTCGTGTACCTGAAAACAGAGGCAGGATGTTAGTTTGATGAATTGTTTATTAAAATACTGTACATTTACAAAGGTTGCATTTGGATTTCCTTTATCAGTCTTACTTCTGACTGTGACGCATCCGAGTCATCAAAGATGTCGTCTAACTGATAAACTGATAAACAGGATGCATTGTGGTCTACTTTTGGTACAAACAATAACATTTAAGGCATGAGTCTTTGAAGAGACCTCAATGCACCAATCTCGCTACCTCAGAAGTGGACTATGATATAATGAAAGACAAACAAGAAATAGTAGGATGGGTTTTTTTCTTCTTCTTCCTTATTTATTGGAGCAGCATCGCCGCCTATAGGATATTTTAACTACAAAAACAGTGTTTATCTTTAAAGTCATCCAAAACCGCCACCCGTATTACTTTAACGACGTCCCATTAATGTGCTTAAAAGCAAAACACGAAAAGCAAAGTATTCAAATGAACAACAGTCACACCTATTCAGTGTTAAAGGGGGAGAGGATAGGCCTACGCGAATCGATGGATTGTCATAAAATTTAATCTGGATAATGGTTTTATAATAACATCTTAACAGATTGGCGGTCCTGCAAATGCCAGCGGATGCATTGCGGATTTATCCCGATCCTGAGTTCAACGTAGACTAGATCTTTCCGTCATCATACTATAGCTAGGCCTGTTCACTGTACTCGTTACACTACTCGTTTAACATTCATAATTAGATTGTATTTTTGTTTTTTTTCGATATTCTCTCGTTTTTTTTGTGTTTCCTTGTAATCTAAACGATCTTATATTTTTTATCTATGGGTCCACAGTAATTTGCTAACGCTGTTGGGGTATCCCTGCCATATTTTAACTTTTTTATATTTGATTTCCTCTATGTGTGTATGTAATATTATGTGAGAAAATACTGTAACTGGCATCTGCTGTAGTGGTTTCCCAGCCATTGAGTCAGTTCTTCGTGTAAACCTTTTTTTAATGCTTTATTGCTGTATGTTTGTAGTAGTTTTTAATGGCGAAGCTGAATAAAATCAAATCAAATATATTAACGATAGATCAGCGCGCAGATGACGTCATAAAAACTAAGACAAAGGCGAAACTCGATCAGACAACCAAACATATACTTTACTTTCAGCAGATTATTTTCATAGCCATTCGCTGTAAATCTTTGTTTAAGTTATTACATTCTAACCTAAGTAAAAATAATAAAATCGCTTGGTATAACACTCGACACGATTAAACGGATTGCAACTGTTTCTCTAAGTCTTGAAGCTATTTTTTAGAATCTGTGAGCAGCGTTATTGAATGATTCAGGTAATATATATATATATAGATGAGGTACCTGTATCAGCCAGTCCACCAGAAYAGCTCTTGATTGATACGTCACCTCTTCCTGATGCTTCAGAAAGTCTCTTGGAAGAAGGAACTTGGTCTCCAGTTTATACAAATAACAAAATATTTCCTCAGTATAGGAACTCATCACAGTCCAATCTTCGATCATCTCTTGGCAGTCCGCTGATTGTGATTTGTCAGTCTCTGCGCCATTACTTGCAATAATATTGGTATCTTGCTGGAAGAATCCGCTATCGTTTAACCTGCTTCGAGCCCTTGGTCTTGGAGCACAAAGGAGATCGAATTTCCAATCGCAGTTTGTAGACGGACAGGGTTTTTCCAAAGCGCTGTCAACTTGATAACTGTTAGTGTCGAAATCTGAATCAGTGCTCGGAGTATGTTCCATCGTTTCATCTAGAGATCTAGAACCTTTACTCCGAAGAAAATCGGTCCGAAAAAAAGTGCCTCGAAATTCCTGGAAAAACGTCTAACGAGAAGTTATTCAGTGTGAGTCAAACATTTTCTCGACGCGAGTCGAAGTTTATTGACCAATCAGCAAAGTGTTTAAGACATTGAATTAATTAGGATGCGAATTCGCGCCATATTGACGAGTGTTAAAAAATAGCGCACTTTGTGATCAATAGAATTGAAATGAGGTAGAGAGGGAAGAGACAATAGATGTTGCTTTACACTTCGCTGGTCCTTGTTTAGCAACCAATGAGGATTGTCATGATAGGCGCCATATTGACGAGTGTAAAAAAATAGCTGCACTTTGTGATCAATAGAATTGAAATGAGGTAGAGAGGGAAAAGACAATAGATGTTGCTTTACATCTCGCTGGTCCTTGTTTAGCAACCAATGAGGATTGTCATGATAGGCGCCATATTGACAAGTGTTAAAAAATAGCCGCACTTTGTGTCCAATAGAATCGAAATGAGGTAGAGAGAGAAAAAACAATAGATGTTGATTTACTCCTTGCTAGTCCT